AGCAATCAAGGAATATGCGAATACCAATAAATAAAAGGAAAAGATAAAATTAAATCGATCTCACAATTTTAGGCAAACCAAAACATCCGTTGTCCCTTGACCAGAGTGGAGAGATTAGTTCATGTCCGATGAACAAAGCCCACAAGAAGTTAGAGAGAAAATCGCAGCCATCAATTGGTAAATGGATGAACTCAATTCGATGGAATACTGACCAAAAGAAAAGCTACAGGAAGTGCTTGAGTCTTTTTTATTGTTTCTCCTAACATACGAGGAGAAGAAAACTACTAACGAGAAGCCAAAAAGGAAAAATCCAAAGCTGCACTAAAAGACGAAAAACCAAGAAGAAAAGCTAGTACTAGTTTCCTGCCCTCAATTCTTCCTTTCATGTGCGGCGGCTCTCCTTCCGGAGAGGAAGAAGAAGACCCTTGACTTCAGCCCTTCGTTCCTCTTTTTAATGCCGTCTTCTGCGAATTACCAAAAAGGTCTTGTATCTCCTTGTTCCAAAAATACCCTTGATTGCCTGCTATTTGAACTCTTTCCCGATGACTGTCAAATTGGCCTTGATTGTGATATTTTTGTTCTACTCCCTGAAATAAATGTAAATTACGAAAAGCGAGTAGAATCTAATAATTAATTCACATCAGGTCAGGTAATAGGAAAAATTAATAATAAAATAAATGAATAAATTGCAACCTATCAATTCCCCCCACACCTAAATCATGCTTGCCTTCAAGCATGAGAATAACAAACAAACACCAATATTTGATAGTGGCTATTGTTCTATCCACAAAATTACCAAGATACCAAGAAACATAATATTCAAGCATCAATGGTCAAGTCCAAGAAACAGCACTCCGGTTAGCTTCTAAACCACAAACTCCTCTAATTTCAGGTTAACTAATTTAAGAAAAAGGATGACACACAACATTTATCAGCAAATGGTCCAACTATTAACCAAAATCTCAACATTAAATCCATAAATCGGCAAGCTGACTTTTATTATACACTAACACAACTTTCACTTTTTTTTTATCACATTTTTCTACTTTTATCTTTTTTTGATTTTTTTCTTCTCTTTTTTTTTTTTTTTACTTTTCTCAATAGTAACAAAAGACTTAGTCGCTAGCCATTGGAACCTTTTGACGCGAGCTCCAACATTTTTAGATGAAGGAGCCCGGTTACTTAGCTCCTATCGCCACGCGACCACGTACTCATAGCAATTACTACTTTTTGACGCGAGAATCGACACTTCTAGTGAAGATCTCCGGTTACTCGATAGTAACGACTAGCGGAGTACAGTCAACTCTTATTCATAGCTTAAAGTAATACGATAATATTAGATTTTTCTTTATTTTCTTTTTTTGCAAAATCTAATTTTTTGTCTCCGTCTTTCCTATCTCTTTTTCTTTTCCTAGTATTAATAAATGTGAAAAAAAGAAATTTGAAATAACCCTTTTATTTTTATGTTTTTCGATCTCTTAAAGTAAAAAAAAAAAAGAAAAAGAATAACCATTCCAACTTTTTTATTTTTAATTATATATAAAAATGGGTAAATATATTTAAAATATTTTTATCATACTAGTTAGATTAACGATGAGGTAAAATGTTTAGAAAATAATTTTAGGAATGAAAGTGATTGTATCACTATAATTTAAATGAATAAAGTGATAATGTAATAATGCTATAAAATAAAAGGGTATTTTTGTCCAAAATTTCTTAACATGTTGAGTTGAATTACTTATGGGGGTAAAGTGACTAAAAGATAACGTTAGGAGGTGAACTGATAGTAGTGATATAGTTTAAAGAGATAAAGTGATAATAACCCTTTTTATTTATTAAACATCCGAACTTATCCAAAACCACCGAGCTTTAATTTAGTGGCCGCCAAAAAGGGATTGAGTTCCTCTTTGGACTTGTAGGATTAGATCAAGTGTTTAAACTCTACCTATAGTGAAAAAAAATCTAAAAGAGAAGCCAAACCACCCTTTTGTGTTAGTTTATTATACAGTTTTTTTAGACTCCTCCTCCCCCTTCCCTAAAATAGGATAAATTAGGTTATATAAATGTTATGTTATAGCAAAAAAAAGCCCACAACTTGTGAATGTGTGGTTTATCAAATGTCCTCCCCTAGAATGTTATCGTTGTAGCCAAAAAAAAAAAAAAAAGCACCCAAAAAAAAGCACCAAAGCTTGTGTGGTTTATCAAATGTCCTCCCTAGAATGTTATCGTTGTAGCAAAGAAAACACCAAAACTTGTGAATGTGTAGTTTATTTTGAGCACCTTTTTATCTTATCAAATAAGCATTATTTTGCCAACTAGACTCTTGACTATTTAGTTGGCAAGTTTTAATTGACTATTAAATAGGATAATGTATAAGTTGTTCAATGGTCATAGTAAAGCTTGCCAAATGTAATTAAAATGGTTAATATTATATAATCCGTGTATACATACATGGATATATAGAAGATCCATGTCATATAAGCAAAAATTGAAGTTTAAATTCAATTTTGAATTTCATGGCATGCATTCACACATACTATATATGCACCGTGTGTACAATATTAGTCCTTACTAAAATGATATATGATGATGAAAAACATATTTATGGCTGGTCGTGTATAATGAGGTAAGAAATTTCATATAATTAGGACATATAGCAGATGATTTATGCATTCAACCGTGAATTTGTACGCCAAGTCTGTCTTTTAAGCTTTTTTTTTACACCAAAAGCAAGAATCCTGTTCACATATCCCATTCTGAATATAAAAGAAAACTAACAGAGCACTCCTCGATTATACATCCCGTTCTAAAGGACAAAGAAAATCATCATACTACCCCAGCTGTATATACATCCCAATCTAAAGAACCAACAAAGCCTTAGGATTCCCAACCATTCAATCATCCATGGAGGGAACAATGAGTGAATCTAGTGCTCCTAGATTTAGAGTTTTGATGTTCCCATGGCTAGCTCATGGCCACATCTCTCCCTACTTAGAGCTATCCAAGAGACTCTCCGAAAACAACTTCCACATATGCTTTTGTTCTACTGAGATCAACCTGAATTTCATCAAGAAAAGTAAAACCTTTGATGAGATTTCATCAATAGAACTGGTACAACTTGATTTGCCAGATCTGCCTGAACTCCCTCCCCAGCATCACACCACAAGAAACCTCCCACTCCATCTCAAATCAACCCTCGAGCGTGCATTTTATATGGGAAAAGCAAACTTCCAAAACATCCTGAGCACTTTGAAACCCGATTTGCTAATCTATGATGCTCCCCAGTCATGGATATCGGAGCTGGCAGCACTGAATCATATCCCTTCTGTTCTTTTCATAATAGTTGCTGCAGTAAACTTGTCTTTTTTTTTATTATGCCGTTAACTGTAGAATCGATGGTACTAATGAGGCTTACCCTTTTCCAGCAATTTATTACAGGGATTATGAAACGAAGAAAATGATAGCTATGTCCCAGGAATCCAAAGAAAGTTTACCCGAAGATGCTGCTTTTTCTCCCAAGTGTTTTGAACTATCTTCTTTTGTTTTGGTGAAAAGCTGGAGGGAAATTGAGGGGAAATATATAGATCACTTTTCTTTCTCCTGTGGCAAGAAGGTGTTAGCTTTAAATCTTCTTAATGTTCAAGATGATGATACCAAGGAGGAGGAGAATAATTCCCATATCATGAAGTTTCTGAATGGTAAAGATGAATCATCAGTGATTTATCTTTCTTTTGGGAGCGAATACTACTTGTCGAAGGAAGAAAGGGAAGAGATAGCACATGGGTTGGAGCTGAGCAATGCTAACTTCATATGGGTACTTAGGTTTCCTGTGGGAGATTCTATTGCCCTAGAAGAAGCTTTACCCGAAGGGTTTCTGGAGAGGGTGAAAGAGAGAGGGATAGTGGTGGATGGATGGGCACCACAGGCTAAAATTCTTGAGCATCCAAGTACTGGTGGTTTCTTGAGTCATTGTGGATGGGGTTCTGTGACAGAAAGCATGTATTTTGGGGTTCCATTGTTAGCTTTGCCCATGTTCTATGACCAGTTTCTTCAAGCTAGACTTGCAGAAGATATTGGTGTCGGTATTGAGATTCTGAGAGGTGAAAACGGGCAGACAAATAGGGAAGAGGTGGCTAAAGCCATAAAAATGGTTGCTTTGGAGAATGAAGTGGGAGAATTATTGAGAGAAAAAGCTAGAGAGTTGAGTAACAACTAACAAGATGAGAGGAGGAGAAGGAGTGTTGCATGAAGCAATAAAGAAGCTAAAGAATTTATGCAGCAAGAACAAGTAGCAGAACTGCTGAATCTGGGATGGATAGATATGATAGAAAATGTTTGAGACAGATATTCAATGATTAACCTTTCATATGCTGATAGTACAAGCCAAGGATTATCATTACAGCATTTTTTTTTTCCCCTAAAAACCCCGTACCGATTGCTATGGAGCTAAACTGCAGTTGTAATATGTATTCATTTCGATTGATGCCATCGGCGTTACTGATACAGGTTGTTACAATGTGAAATTGGCAGAATTGATCCGACAAACATTGTGGCAGATCAATGATCAAACCATCCCTAAATAATTAAGAAAAAATTTCTTAAATCCTGTAGATATTTGGCCCATTATATTTTAATGACTTGTGCTTAATTGCTGAACTTTTGGTAGGGGAGTTTCAGGTCAACGATCCCACAATCCCTTTGTAATATGGGTGGTAATATAAACCCTGCACTCTGAAACTCCCCTATGAAAAGCTCAGCCATAATGCACAAGGCATTAAAATATATATTGGGCCAAACATATGTTAATCTAAGATTTTTTTTTCTTTTTAAACGCATTTAGTAATTGCGTTTTTTCATAAAAATCCTCGATCGATCAAAACTTATTCTTGTGAGATAATTGTTTTGCCAATTGTCGGACTAATGTTGCTATTTTGACAGTTGTGGAACCACCTGGTTACTGCCTCGGCTCCTCATGCAATTACCGAAAGCCTCAGATGTGCTCAACCCAACCCAATCGTTCTCGTGGGCACGTGACTCGCGCCCACCTCTGACACTGGATCTGACATGTGACAGATACTACATGCCACAAGTCTATGATTCTTTGTGACCGACACATTATCCTCGATTTTCGAAATTCATACTGCATCAAGAGGGCATAAATGTCCCCTCCACCTCATGCTCTTTCTTTTTTTTTTTTTTCCCGTCATAGGGGTATCCATCCTGACTTGCGTCAACCCGGTCCAAAGATGCACCACGCAGTAATAAGTGAGAATAGAAACGGTGATCTTTGAATAAGGTTCCAAGGAGGTATGTCCCATGAGGTCTCGGGTAATCTTTGGTGCAAGTGGTAGGAGTTTGGATTACTTAATCATGAGATTTTCGGTTCGAAATTCATGAAAATAGAAAAAATAATGTTGGGAGAGCTTTCCTTTATAAGGGATTCGATCCGATTCAAACAGAATTAGTCGCAAACCGTAAAACGGATAGAAACACCGAACACCTATGAATTATGACAAAAAAAGGAGGTACGTCCCCCTCATATTCAAAGCTAGAGGACATAAATCCCCTCAGCGGTTTAAATGCTCGCCTTCAACTCCTGAACTTCTAGTTAGACTTGGACATCGGAGTCGTCTCGAAAGATTTAGCCCGACTATTTGCCTCTTTTGTTGTGCTGTTTTTGCAAGTCTGTGGCTAGGCTCGAGAAGCTCGGTCCATCTATTCGTGCCCACAGAACGATATAACAACCTTCATCGCCATCTTCCAATAAAGTTTAAAATGCTGTATTTTGACTTCTGTGGCACGATTTAAAGACCGTCTATGTAAACTAAAAGCTTTAATCCATCAAGTTACAAGTATCAAAAACAATAGAGAATTCGCAAGCTATATATTACTCTCAAGTTAGTCAAACTTCTTTTGGGCTGAATCTCAAGTTATTACTAGAGAATTCGTAGTCCTTCCTCTTGTTCACACTTCTACGTTTACTAAAACTATGTGTTGGGGGGGAGAAATATTGGAAAAAGTTCCACCTCCCATCGTCGCAAAATAGCGCTGTATGTTTACATCCGTGGGTTTGAGCCACTGGAATTTGACCGAGAAGATGAAATTTGGAAATCTGGATTGCAAACAAAGTTCCAACGACAAAAGTAGGAAGTTGGCCCATTATTTGTCTTGTTAAAAATTGAGATTGAAGAACCTCCTATTTCTAGTGCAAATAGTTTATTGGGTCATTTCTTATGTCGCATTACAGGCCGTAGGTTTCGCTTCTGGGTGAAAAATGCTCGTTTAAAAGCGAGCTATCGCCTGATATGTTGTTTTCTTCCACAAATATTTCCTTTTCATACATGTCCGTAGGTTGTGAATTGTTTGGTTTGGGTTGTTTGGGTTCATTTTCCGTCAAAGAAGAAAAATTCATGGACCTTATGCTTTGCCAAATTTGTCACGATCAAATTTCTTCATAAAAAGAAAGTGATGTATCGATCGATTAAACACGAGTGTGCATAATTTTCCTCTATGTTGCATGGCAAGCTTCAAAAAAAAAATTTTTTTTTTTTGGGCCACCATACATATCAATGATAGATGAGGTGTTTCAAATCTCCACAATTCAGGATTTAACATTTTCATACTAAACAATTTAAGAAGAATTTGTACGTCTTTTATAGGGAAAATGACCAAAATAGTACTTCACATTCTTTAAAAAAAAAAAAGAAAATCCTTTTTGGGGTCTTTCACATATTAAAATTTTAAAATAGTCTCACATATAACAAGTACGCCAATTTAGTCCCATAACCTATTTTTGACTATAGATCTAAAGGAGGTATTTGTTTATATGGGTATCGTAATGGGACAGAATGAATATCAAAATTAAACGTATTCGTACTTTGTTTATATGTTATGATAGGAATAATTCAATATAAATGAAATCGTTAGATGTTACCTCTTATTATTCCTCACTTGTAGTGCAAAGTTTCAAATTGATTAAATTTTTAATAAAATGAAACTCATTTCACTTCCAAACTATGACCTCGTTTGACAAAGGAGTTTTTTAAATATTTATCTAAAATTTTATTGTAATTTACTGTAAAAATTGTAGAAAAAATTTTGAAAATGAAATTTTCTTTCTTTCTTTTTTTTTTCTTTTCTTTTCTCTCTTCTTTTTCTCCCTTCCCTCTGCCCCTCTCCATCCCCGAGCCAGAAGTTGCAGTAGCAACAAGAAATTTTTTTTTTTCAATTTTCTCTCTCCTTGTCTCCCCCCTTCCCTTCCCTCCTCCTCCCCTTCTCCTTCCCCTAGCCAGAAGTTGCAGCAGCAACAACAAATTTTCTTTTTTGCATTTGCATTTTTCTCTCTCCCTCTCTCCCTCTCCCACTATCCTCTGTTTCCCCCTCCGGCCGCCAGCAATAGCAGAATTTTTTTTTTTAAACCTTTTCCTCTCCCTTCTCCCCTTCCCTCTCCCTCCCTTCCTCTCCTCCTCCTATTCCCTTCCTCCTCCTCTTCCCTTTCCCCCTTTCCTCCCCTCTTTCCCACCATCTCTCTCCTCCCATCTCCCTCCCCCGCCACCCTGCCCCTCCCTCCTCTACGTAGATCGCGTGAGCCAGATTACGCAGGAGGGGAGGGACAGGGTGGCGAGGAAAAGGGTAGATTTGGTCGGCAAGCCAAATTGCATAGGGAGGGAGGGGAGGTGGCGGGGAAAGGAGAGGTGGTGGGGAAGAGAGGAGAAGAGGGTATGGGAGGAGGAGGAGAGTAAGGGAGAGAGAGGGAGAAGAGAGGGACAAAAAAACTTACCTCTACCACCACTGGCACCAACGTCGAAAAAGGTGACTAGCTCCGGAGATAGTGGTGGGTTGACGTGGGAGAAGAAGAAGAAGAAAGGAGAAGAGAATTTTTTATTTTTTTTTTGTTGGTATTTTGAAGTGTATTATTTAAAAATTTTAAGAAAATTTTGAAAATATTGTAATTAAAATTATTAAAAAACTGGTAGAAAATAAATTTGGTTAAAATTTTATTTGCCAAACAAGCCCTATACACGTGTAAAAGGCAGAATCAAAACCACAGCAGGCTTTAAAATGTCGATTTCGAGTCCGAGATTGGAATACGAAGCAAACACCTGTTAAGAGACTGACTTGGAGTCTTCGATACTAAAAATCCACCGGATTTGCTTTTGATTTTTATTATTTGAAAAAAGAAAAAAAAGATGTAGTGACGCAGAAATGCTTACGCATGGACTGTGACGTCAGGGGGATAACGGAAGCGCCAGGTATTCTCCGCTCCAATTTGTTTTCTTGATCTTTTTGACGAGTTAAATAGCAGACTTTTGAGTCGTCAAGAAATACATATAATATAATATAGTGGAAGAAGTGGGTGCATAATACAATAGTAAATTTGTTATATTTGTCACGTTCCATCGGATGTTTCTGCACGCTATCTTCGAAGGCATCAATTTACTTATCATTCGGATCAAACTTGTTATAGAGGGAGTTGAACGGGTCATGGCTCATTTAAAACGCACCGTACTCTTTTCCTTTTCTTTTTTTTTTTTTTTGAATTTGTCTAATAAATTTTCCATAATAATAATTCGGATAAATGTTCCAGATAATAAATTGAATGTGATTTAATTGTATTATCAAATGCTTATTATCACCCGTTAAAAAAATCCAAATCATTTCTGTGGGTTACCGGCATGCATGTGGGTGCAACTATTTACACCTGAAGATATATTCTACAGTATATATTTAATGGATCTGAGGATGAAAAGACAAAAACGTACTAATATCTTAGTGCCCTCCCAGTTTGGACGTTAGGTCAATATCATACATACATCAGTTTAGTGGTGGTTTTTTTTATCGAACTCTTTCACAGCCATATATACAATTCAGGAGTTTCATATTAAATTTAATCCTCTAGCCTCTCTGGGCTTTGACTCTATGTAATGTAACCTAATTTGCTTGTGCAATTAATTTTTATACCTGTCAACATTTTCGCTTTGGATTCCCAATACATTCGCAAAAATGAGAAGACCACCACCCATTCCAAAGAGTTACAAACTTTGTTTATACTGTGATATCTATCTATTGGGAAGATAAATGGAATGTAGGGATAAGAATATCAGTACACAAACAATTATTATGTTAGATTCTTGAGTATTAAACCTTGCAAAATCAATTAGTTTCTTGTCTCTGTACAGCGGTTCACTTTTGTGGTAGTCTCCTATAAGCCCTGTGGTGCTCAAAAATTTTTTAAAAAAATGGCAAAAATAAAAATCTTATTACGCCTGCTAACTTGAGAAGAACCCTTTTGCCATCATGCATAATATTCCAAAATCCACAATTTTGACAAGTTCTAAGTGAATTTTCATTTCTTTTTTTTTTTTTTGGAGAAGTTTGACAAGTTCTTTTTTCTTTTTTTTGCGAATCATAAACGTTTTAGAAATATTATTTCACCTTTGATGGCAAATTGTTTTGTCCCATGAGATTTTCTAATTACTTTGTGCGCTCAGAACTTTATCAAGAATTTCACAGAGTGAAATTCTGTTGCTGGCGTGACCGTACCGGTGCTAGCAAGGAAAAACAGCTGTGTTTGGACAGTCATTTTCCGTCAAAAAATTGCTACGTTTTCTGTGAACACATTTTCCTATCACCTTTTTTTTTTCACATACATCAAATCGTTACAAAAAATTCAGAAAAAATGCAATCCAAACACAAAGGCACCTTTAAAGAGTCCATCAAATTTACCTTGATCATTTCTCTTATCCTTGATAGTGCTTCAACATTAACCTTCAATCCCTGTACGATTGTGGTTTCTTGGGATAATTTCAAAAACCTTAGGTTGTGTTTGGATTGCATTTTCCGTCATTTTTCATGGAAAAATTACTGTAGCGATTAGATATATATGAGAAAAAAAGGTGATACGAAAATGTGATCACGGAAAATGACAATCCAAACAGTGTGTTTGGATTGTAAGTTATTTGAAATATTTTGACTGTAACACTTTTTGTGATGTGATGTATGTGAGATAAAAAAGTAATTGGGAAGATAAAAAGGTGTATTGAAAATTGTAATGGTGATGTCAGCAAATATATTTGGCCAAATAATTGGCTGTCCAAACACACTCTAAGGCCTTAATTATCAGAAACTTCAAGGAAGATGGCTACAATTGACAGTAACCTTAAGGGAGGAAGCTTATGAAGCTATCCCTTGTTTCTTTTCCACATTTTTTCTAACTGACCATGCAACCAAGAGCCAACAGGATTGCACTCTGCACCCTAGGCTCCAATTTAGTAAACTTCCTCGCAAGTCCCAAGGAGCTGGCAGAAAGTTCACCAGACAAACTTCGTGCTAACGTTGTTGAAAACGATAAAAAAAAAAAAAATCTAACTTTAAAATTCTTCAGAACCGTTCTTCTCTATGACTCCACTATTAAACATCAAGACGTTTATTATTTACACATACTACTACTGTATTTAAAAAATACAAAACAGAAAAGGAAGAAAAGAACAAAATAAGATCGCAGTTAAGACGAGTTTAGTGTTAATGCCATAACATCAGGGAATCATCCATCAACACACCATGGAGCAACAAAAGAACAAAAAAGGCAAACATGGAAACTAGGGATGATTAAAGTTTTCTTGAACAGCACTACTATTCACTATTCAGGAACAGGGTCAGGGTCGGCATTAAGATCCAAGCCCACATTGTCTTCCACTCTTTCTTGACTTTTAACCCCGTTAACCACCTCAAAATCTTCCCGTTCAAAGTTAGGACTCCAGGGGACAGCCGCCGTCGAGTTCTTCTTGCTCCCGCCGTTACTTTTCTGGAAATACTTAACTGCCACCTGGATTCTCCTTAATATAGCATAGAACTCCTCCACCTCTCCATCATCGTCGCCACCGTCAGTCTCTTCCATCTTCAACCCCACTGCAGCCGCTGCCGCCTTCTCTCCTCCGTCAGCTTCCTTCCTCGAACCCTTCACCTTTTTCCCATCAACTGCTTCTTCATCAAACCGCTTTCTCTTCTCCACCTCCATGTACAACAACTGCGGAATACGAGGCTAGGTCGCTGATAAGGGTGCACTTTTCTTGATTCTCCGGCGAGAAAGAGAAGGAAAGAAGAAAGAAAATGATGCTGCGCACGCTAGTGCGATGTTATTTTTGACATGGTTTGTCAAATGTCGCAAGTAAATAGTTTAAAAAACGAGAGGTGGATTTAGGAGTCAGGAAAGAGAAAAATAAAATATCTTCCGGTGTGATCAGAGGATGACGCCAAGAAGGTGACGTAAGGAGATTGCGGTCGATATACGTGACCACCGAAACGTGAAACAGAAATGGACAGGGCCCAAGTTGAGAAGAAAACTGGGGGGTGGGTGGTTGAAAGAGTTTTGTCTTTTGGTTGGAACTAGAATTTTGATTCTGTGGTTGTGAACCTTGTGGTTGTGGTTGTGGTTGTGGTGGGAGGATGTATGATGACAGCTCTGTCCCTACTTGTCCTGTCATCATCATCGGAAAGTTGATTCTGTACTCTGCTTTTGACAAATGTTTCTTTTGAAATTTTTAATTTGGATTTTTTTTTTCAACGATGTCAAGAGCTAAATTATATATTTAGCTTATCATGTCAAGACACACAGTAATAATTGTTACATCCCTTACATTTAAATAGTTTTTTTCAAATTAATTATACTTTTTATTTAAAAAAACTAATATTTAACACCCTTCTTATCAAGTGTTTATTGGATGTCCATTAGCCAAACTGATTTAATTTTTACGTTACATATATATTTTTTTTCCTGGAATGACCATGGTAACACACAATTGATGGTCTCAATAGGATTTATTTGAAGTCAGATTGAGGAATTGATAATTAGATACAAATTTCACGAGCCGAGCAAAAACATTTATTATATTTTTATATATTGTTGTTTAAGTATATAAAATGTATAGCGAAATTGGTTGTTGATGATTGTAAAACATTTGGGGTTAGAAATATATTGCCTTTGAGTCCAATGATTGAATTGTTTATGGGATTGATTCACTGAAAAAATTTAAAAAGGAAAAAGAATAACTCATTTGTTATTTTATTTTACAAAATTCTCAAGAATTTATTACAATCTATTTAGATGGGAGTACTTCAGAGTTTTTGTACAAAATATATACTGTGACAATATGATACATGTAAGATTAAAAAAAATCATTAAAAACATGTTAAGAGAATATTCCAAAAATCTTATCTAAAAATATAGCAATATGAATGGACGTTAGTTTTGCACTTCTTTCTTGATTGGAATTTTGACCATAGGTTCCGAACCCACCTCATATACCGCTTTGATGGGTGCACACTGCACATACCGACCTTTCGAAACAGGAAAACACATTGCAGTTCACAGCTCCTGGACTGGAGTCGAAGAGCCAACAACCCAGAAACCTTCATATCTACGTTACTACGTAAGTGTCATCCTTTCCGCGCTTTAATTAAAACGCGTGTTCTGGGAAGTACCAGCAGCCCGTGACTTTTCTCCTCGTGATTGGAGTTGTTTATCAAATTTGTAGCACCGCTTTAGTAGCACGGTCTAGCTAATATTTTAGACTAGTTCAAGTGTGCTTATAAACCTATTCTTTTTCCATGTGCGGTTTTCTTAATTTGGGATAGAGCACATTCTACCGTTTCTTCGTCAAGCTTTTAATGAGTGTATTTGATAAAATTGAAATCTAAAATTTAAAATTAAATTTATTAAGTTACTGAATTATTAAGGTATTAAATATGATATATTTAAATATATATCATATTAAATAATAAAAATAAATTTTTTATTTTTTATTTTTTGAAATAAGTTTTATCTAAAAAATTTAATGCTACTCAATTAATTCATATATTATATTTTTTATTATCAAACACGTTTGAATATGTTAAAATCTGAATCCATTAAATTTAATTGTTGAATTGCGTTATCAAACATAACTTAAGTTTTCAAATTGCCAAACTTTTTCTTTCTCCAATTTTTTATATCTGCCGCTTTTGGAAATAATAAAAAAACACAAAAAACATAGCTTAAGTTTTGGTTGTTGAGAAATGATGGGTTTGTTTATTTATTAATATGATGGTTTGACCGTCGGAAGTAATTACAAATGTCTGGTTGGCAGATGTCTACATTACTTTACTGTATAATCCACGTTCGGCATGCGTCAAAATTATAGTCATCGAACTTGTACAAGGCGCCTACAACGTCTACTACCGACTTTAAATTTATACTCGTAGAAGTCATAGCATGTGACGCGTGGGTGACAATTCTGAAATGATTATTTGTTGACTTTAAATTATTTTGAGTTTGGGATTTGGTGGGGATGATAGTTGGGACGGATACCTAGAGGTTGATAGGATGGGAGGTGGGGCGGTGTAGGAATAAATTTTTTTTTTTGGAGATGATAGTTATAGTATATCCTAATCTATCCTACACAAAGGGGAGGAGGTGGACCTAAGGAGGTCCAGGGGTAATTCAGAGGAAACTGAATCACTATCGAACAAAATAGGTGTACTACGCATCCGTTTGAATTTTTTGAAACAAATCTACATTTAATGTGACAATTGGTGGGAGGCAAGAGTACCTCCCACCCCATCAAGCCTTTAAGGCTTGATGGTGGCCACCAGGGCAAAGACTAGTGGTTATGTAGAAATAATTTTCTACCTTGTTAAAAAACTGGTTGGGGATAGGGGAATATACTCTCGCCCCATTGCATGCCTTGTCACCCATTCTATACTTTTTTTATTATTATTATTGATACGATAGTTTCCTACTCTATGGGAAGCGGGAGGGCCTGAAGAGATTTTGGAGTAATCCAGAGGGAATTGAACCACCACCAGATACCAATTTGTTAGGTTTGGTCGTAGGAAATTGACCTACGAGAATAATAGGGTTTTTGACAATTCAATAATTACAATAACAGAACAAATAAATCAAATAGTGAAATACGAAATTTATGTGGTTCGGTCCAATTGACCTACGTCCATGGGCGAAGGAGTAGCAAATTTACTATAACAGTAAAAGAGTACAAAATTTTAGGAAATAATTCCCAAATCTAAAATGCACATAAAACTGAAAACACAAAATAGTCTAAATAGTACTAAATGCTTAATGGCCCAAAGGTTCATGACTTGCTCTTTTGGTTTAATACCGAACCAAAGCCTCTCTTAGACTGGGGCGTAGGCCTCCCCAAAACTCTTTTAGATTGGGACGTGAGCCCCCACCAAAACTCTCTTGGACTGATGCGTGTAATGGATGGCCCCCATTACAAAATTTAAGAGCCGGACAAAATTTTGGCTAGCAACTTCGATCAGGTTTATTTTTTGCAACGGTAAATTTGCAACGTTAATTTTTCCAACGATCAGATTTTAATTCTCTATATAAACACACAATACACTTATTTTTGAGAGATAGAAAAAGATATATTGTTCAAACTTAAAAATTAATAGTATCATCTTTAGAAAATAAAAAATTCAAAAGGTAAAAAATTTAATCAAAGTTAATACTTTATTTTTTAAATTTTTTTTTTTTTTAAAAAAGCAAAACCAAATTTAAAAAAAAATGAATAATGGCAAATCAACTTTTGTGGTGCAGGTTTGGGAATAACCAATAATGTTGCTCGGCATCTATTATTGTACTTACCATCAGTGTGTTCCATTGGTGTACAATGGCAGTGATTTAAGGATCTATCCTAGACAAGATTGGTATCATTGTTGTATTACTGACGCACTTGATGTGGCACCCCAGTCTAAAGAGCCACAATTGTAAGTAATCCTACACATCTGGTGATAATTTCTGTTGGATTTTAGGATTGTACTGTTAATTACTACTGTTAAGAATCTTGTATTATGTCATTCCATATTTATTAAATCTTTTGCAAAATGAAAAGAATATATGAAAAAAAAGGCAATAAATTCAACTGATAGTTAACATACAAACTGATTAAACAGCAGTTACGCCATTTTTCATAATGTTTTATATTTATGCATTTCTTTCTTTTCTTTTCTTTTCTTTTGCCAGAGTCCACTTGTGCAAATTTTCATCTATTTTTTTCTTTTAAAAAGTCAATAATAGCATGTGAACTTATAGTTTCAACGAGTCTGTAATGGTCAAAATTTATTGTACTTCCTATTATGCAGTCCCATTACAAAGTAGCGAAAAATTTTCCCTGGTTTCATGTTCTCTTGTCCTTGATGGGCAGGTGGGCATGACCTATGAGCAACGACTCACTTTAGGCCGGTTTCAAGTAAAGCCCTGTCCTTTGACTAATGATTCGAGTCTCCGCTTTGCTGGATTTCTCCGCACACTTATCGTGTTCGGATCAGATTGAGGCATCGGGTCCGGGTCGCAGGGAATTAGTCGGACTCCGTAAAGATTGACCCGAACACCCCTGCGTCGATAAAAAAAAAAAAAAACTAATGATTCGACGCCACCGAAACTTGGTCGCAAACAAAGATTTAACGATCCAGGTTCATCCTGGGATCATGGCCTCACAACTTGATGCATGGTTGTCGAGTTCGAGCCGGTTTGGCTTAATAATTACGCATTTTTGTTGGAAGTTCGGTTACAATCGGATATGACTTGAATTTGTCGATTCACATAACTAAATAGATATGACATTCACAATTATACCAAAAAATGTATTTATTTTACCCAAAACTGGTTTGAACGGGATAAAATTCAACTTGTGAGGCCAGTCGTGGTCAACCGTTCTTCCCGTTGAATCTTTAGAATAGATATTTTCTCAAGGAGTTTGTTATGGTAGTGAAACTGGCTTTCTTTCAGAATCTTTTGATTTCTGACAGTGACCGAACGTATATTGATGTTCAGTCTTCCTTTCTCTTAACTTCTATGTCGTAATTATGGGGTGGGGAGCAGGCGGGGTATATTTGCTAGTTGCAAACATCAACTTAAATCAAGTTCAAGAAAAGGAGGAGGAAATTTGCAAACAATAAAAATTTTGCATAAAAATAACCTTCAAACTTGTAATTTAGAAACAAGGACATGAAATTTGATTCAAATGCTAAAATTTGGTCATGTTTCAAACCTATCCTATATTCAAACTGCAGGAAGAAAAGCCTGTCATGTAGCTAGTTGGAAATAAAACAGCGGACGTTATCTTTCACGGGTAAAGCTATCTAAATCATCTGCCAAACACCCTTTCTCGTCCTGGCTATTGCATTCGCGTCTGTGTCGAGAGTCATTATTACTTTTCATCTATTGACAAAATGAATTGGGTGTGAAGTGTAAATTTGACAAGTGCAGATCACAAGCTGGAGGATTATCCTTTTTCTTTTTTGCATGCATGTCTTCTTTTATGTAATCACGGGGAGCAACCTTCTAAAAATAAATCACCCCAGTTTCTTGGCTCATTTAAGGTGCAGTAGACAGTAGTTTAACTGGCTTCAAAATTTCAGCTTAAACAATCAAACGCCCTCTGTTCAAGAGAACAAAAAAAATCTCAACTTTACAAGTTCATAAAAGCTTCCTTTAACCCTCAGTTAAAGTGAAGAGTAGCATCGAGTATTCAACTATTGAGGTCGATGTGTGCCGCGGAAGGTAGAAAGCTTTTAACAAAATTAATAATACAACTTAATAATTTGGAATTATTGCATTAATTTAGTGAAAGATCTCGTTCGATGTTTGATCTGCAGGTTTGATCAGTAATTGTCAAACTACTTAATTATTTACTTGGGAGCAGTGAATGGGGAGAAAATTTGTTTAAGGTGGGCCAGCATGACCGAAAATATATAATTTTGGAGCAAAAAATTTTCAGATGGTGTATATGCTTTTGCAGAAGTTTGGGAACCACAACTACAATAAACCATCGGATGATAATAATTTGTCAACAGATTTAGAGTTGGCTCTACTCTAGTGGTGAATGACCTGAAAAAGAGGAGGACAGGGCTTTAATTTCTCCCCATTGTGCCTCCAACGATCAAGTTAGCAGGGCAAGAAAGAAAAGCACATTCTGAGAGAATATCTTGAAAAAGATCCATTTACCTTTGGTTGTGGATTGATATTTAACATTGCATGTACATGCATGAGTGGGTTTTTTTTTGTTGTGCAACACTCGATAATAATCTATTCTACATTTAGTACTACTTTTACTCTAACCTATTCTAAAGGAATTTAACTGGATCTATGAGAGAGTCGACAAAAACTAACCACCCTCGAATCAAACGGGTGCATTACACACCCATCTGAATTTAGAAAATCATATCTGTGACAATTGATGAGAGACCAGATTTGAATACATGGTTGGGTTAGGCAAGCACTGTATAGCTACAATGCTTTATGCGTAGTTGCGACCTACGACCTCAAGATCTATGGCGAAGTGCATATGTATTCCTCCTTTGTGTTCCCTCGCCAATCTTTGACACCTGGAATACAACCGACACTGGTCTCTTCTCATTCAATGTCCAGGATGAACGTGAACGTGAACGTGAACGTGTTGCCTATAGCAAACGTTCGCTATTTATTCACTAGTTCTCCTGCTTCATACAATACCCCTTTCAAGAACCAAGACAACCCATACGCCCATACGATTCCTACCATTCTATCATCCATGGAGGAGACATCAAAAAAAATTCATACGCCTCCTAGATTCAGGGTTCTGATGTTCCCATGGCTAGCTCATGGCCACATTTCTCCCTTCTTAGAACTATCCAAGAGACTCGCCAAAAACAACTTTCAGATTTATTTTTGTTCCACTGAGGTCAACTTGAATTTCATCAACAAAAACAAAACCTTAGATGAGTACTTCTCCGATCATTCAATGGAATTAGTACTACTGGATTTGCCAGATATGCCCGAACTCCCTCGACACAATCACACAACAAAAAACCTCCCTCTCCATCTCAAATCAACCCTCAAGATTGTGTTCTATATGGGAAAAACCAATTTCCAAAACATCCTCAACACTTTGAAACCTGATTTGCTAATCTATGATGTTTTCCAACCTTGGGCTTCAGAGCTGGCTGCACTGAATCATATCCCTTCTGTTCATTTCGTAACCTGTGGAGCAGTAAACATGTCTTTCTTTTATCATTGCTTGAAGTATGGATTCTCCGGGTTTAACGAGACTTACCCTTTTCCTTCAATTTTTATGAGGGATTATGAAATAAACAGGATGGCAGCCATTGCCCAAGGATCCAGCACAATCGAACCCCAAGAAGCTCAGTTATCTCCTAAGTGCTTTGAATTATCTTCTGATATTATTTTGGTGAAAAGCTGGAGAGGAATTGAGGGGAAATATATTGATCACTTATCTTTATCTTGCGGGAAGAAGGTCTTAGCTCTAGGTCCTCTACATGAACCAGAAGATGATACCAAGGAGGAGGAGAATAACTCCCATATCATCAAGTTTCTGAACACTAAAGATCAATCATCAGTGGTTTATGTTTCTTTTGGGAGCGAATACTTCTTGTCCCAGGAAGAAAGGGAAGAAATGGCATATGGGCTGGAGCTGAGTAATGCTTATTTCATATGGGTAATTAGGTTTCCCGTGGGAAATGCCATTACCCTTGAAGAAGCCTTACCAGAAGGATTTCTCGAGAGGGTGAAAGAGAGGGGGTTGGTGGTGAATGGATGGGCACCACAGGTTAAAATTCTTGGGCATCCAAGCACGGGTGGTTTTGTGAGTCATTGCGGGTGGAACTCAGTGATCGAAAGCATATATTATGGGGTTCCATTGTTAGCCTTGCCCATGCTTTATGATCAGTTTATTAATGCTAGACTTGCAGTAGAGATTGGTGTTGGTATTGAGATTCTCAAGGACGAAGATGGACAGATAAAGAGGGACGAGGTTACTAAAGTCATAAATAAGGTGGTCGTTGAGAAGAAAGAGGGAGAACTACAGAGAGAAAAAGCTAGAGAATTGACTAAAAAGTTGAGAGAAGAAGGTGAAGGAGAATTGCTAGAAGCAGTAGAGAAGCTCAGGTTATTATGCAGCAAGAACAAGTAACAATATCTGGTAGTCAGCTATGATGACTTAGCCTGGTTTGATAAGAACAACTACTCCCTTCTAGAATTTAGTCTTTTTGCTATCAAATTTATTTGTATTCAAGCACGTAAAATTGTTATCAAATGGGCGTCCGTATTGTTTCGAATGCGTTCGTATTGAATCCATGGTTCAAAGTCACAGTCGCGGTCGCGGTCGCGGCTCGGAACGTTCCACATCGGTCTCGACATATCGGTCACGGTCTCGGTGAGACGCAAATTTTAAAGTATTTAATATTCTAAAAATTGTTAATAATATAAAAAAGTATGCTAAATAAAAATAATTAAAAAATAGCAAAAGAAACGGCCAAATCAATCCGTCGCGGTGTGACTCGGCTGATTTCTCGTCTTGACTCGGGATAACTCGGTGTGACTCGGTGTGACTCGGCCGAGTCAATCCGTCGCGGTGACGACTCGGCCGATTTCTCGGCGAGTCAAGTATTTCGGTATCGTTTCGTCACGATATCGTATTGGTAGGGACCGAGACGGTGACGACTCGGCCGAGACTTCGAACCATGATTGAATCCTGAATTGTGGTGATCCTGTTACCGAGGAAAACTATACATAGCCTATAATTTTTGACGATGCATCATCAACGCTACTATCCGGCAGTTCAACGGATCACAGCAAAAGGAAAACAAAATAATGGCTGAAAGGAATGATCATTTAGATTTCTAACGTGCTTAATTTGCAATGAGAAGTATATTTTCTCCCGTGAATTACGTAAGAAATTAGTGATAATATATTCATTAGCATTCTCAGAAAATCACAGAGTTAGTCTACTTTGTCAAATTTTATAGTTGTTAGAATGTTCATGACTTCATGTAACTTCTTATGTTGAGGAGAATGATCAAAATTCATGCTATTTTCTAGTATTCCTGTTAAATACCAAATGGATGTTCATTAAAAGAAGTTTTCTTTTCCTTTTTTTCGTACTCAACGTTGGGTCTTAAAAGTGCGCCCCAATACCTAAAATTTTACACTCAGAGGACCAAAATGATGCTGTATATATCTCAATCTGGTTTTATAGTAATTGGGATAAAGAACCTATTTTCAACCATTCTTATTACGTTAAAATATAATCATGTACAATTAATTGGAAAAAAAAAAAATTGCCTGCATATAATGATCTTCTTCAGTATGCCAAAACAAACATCCAACCAATAATGTAGCAGTTCAATTGAAATAATTCCCATTTGACACCTACAATCAACCTCGAACAAATTTTTTTTTCTTTTCTATATTTCTGACTGATTAATTTTTTTTTATTTTTTATTTTTTACATTTTAGTTTTTTGCTTGTTCTTGAATTTTAGTTTTTTACATTTTAGTTTTTTGCTTGATTGTAGTATGGATTTTGTAGGTTGAAATTCAATCCATTGCCATCCCCATGTGTTGATAGAAACCAAATATCTGCAGAAAAATCAAAATGCCTTGGCGACAAAATGGCCACAGTCTGCATTAAACTGAGCTGTCCGATATGGCCCAATAGAAAATTTCACGACTTGTACAGGCTGTTGTATTTCCAATATTTGTCACCTAACAAATACGACAGTTTAAAGGGCCGCCTTCGAACTTTTGAGACTATTAATTGCTTTTGTGGTCCAATGGGCTGGAAAGTGGGTGGAGTGGGCCAACCAATTTTCAGCTTCGCTGCCGAATTCCCCACCGTACAAATGAAGCATCGCAAAATTTTCAGCCTGAACTTTGTCCAAATTTCCTCCTCCTAATAGTAATACTTTTTTAGTGAACGTAAAAATAAAACAAGCTATATATGATTGACTAATAATTAGGATTATAAACTCTCACAAATCGATCTATATCCTGAATTGGTTCATCCCACTTAATCAAACTTTCATGCATCAATCCATAGAAAATTTTTTACGTTTTTCAGGAACACATTTTTTCAATCAATTCCACATACATTAAATCGTTATAATATATTTTTCTATAAAAACTCCTAAAAATAAAAATAGCAATCTTAATTGATAAATTCTAAGTTTACTATCAAAATCAATAACTAGTTCTGCACACTCGTGAATAGGGCAGCCCAAAGTCGCAATCATTCGTGCATAGGAAATTGTTTGTGAAACCAAAAAAAAAAGGAAAAAAGTTAAACTTGATTCTATTTACCATAAGTTTCATCAAATACACAAGTCAAGTTGTGAGATCTCTAAATCGAATTTTTTTTTTCCACACAAGTGAATTTAAAATTCCTCTCATTATACCATACAATCCAACCCTTCCCTCCGAGGTTTGAATGCTCTCTTCGCAGGTGCAATTTCAGTACGGAGCCTGCGTTATAAGATTGTTTGTGCGGAAAAGGAAAAAAAAAAAAGAATACATTCAACTCGAAAAAAAAAAAGAACCAAAAACTTCTGTGTTTTTTTTTGACAAGACAATCAATTAACTTTCGATTGAATGTGTAATCTAGATTTCGAAACGCGCAAACGCCATTCCATATGTAAGTGACAAATGGATTAAATTCCAATAATTATGCTGTAAAATATTATTGGAATTCTCTGGCTTTTTGTTTCAATAATTTTACCTCTTTCTTTTCTACAACCACCTTATTTATGACTTTAGCAACCCCTTCCCTCTTTATCTGCCCATCTTCGTCCTTGAGAATCTCAATGCCAACACCAACCTCTACCACAAGTCTAGCATGAATAAACTGATCATAAAGCATGGGCAAGGCTAACAACGGAACCCCATAATGTATGCTTTCGATCACAGAGCCCCACCCGCAATGACTCGCAATACCACCCGTGCTTGGATGCTTAAGAATTTTAGCCTGTGGTGCCCATCCATTCACCACCAAACCTCTCTCTTTCACCCTCTCGAGAAATCCTTCTGGTAAGGCTTCTCAAGGGTAATGGCATTTCCCACGGGAAACCTAATTATCCATATGAAATTAGCAATACTCAGGTCCAACCCATATGCCATTTCTTCCCTTTCTTCCTGGACAAGAAGTATTCGCTCCCAAAAGAAACATAAACCACTGATGATTGATCTTTAGTGTTCAGAAACTTGATGATATTGGAGTTATTCTCCTCCTCCTTGGTATCATCTTCTGGTTCATGTAGAGGACCTAGAGCTAAGACCTTCTTCCCGCAAGATAAAGATAAGTGATCAATATATTTCCCCTCAATTCCTCTCCAGCTTTTCACCAAAATAATATCAGAAGATAATTCAAAGCACTTAGGAGATAACCCACTCTTTTTCTATGTTTCGGACCAATGTGGGATATAATTCTTTACTCATGAACCTAACAAATTTCCCCCTTCATGAGTAACCTCTCACATTAAACCTAAATTTACAAACCTTTCTTCGAACCCACATTAATACTCAACGCAAACACTTCTTATCATCTAAGGTCACCTCTTCTCACAAACATGGACCACTCTTCTTCAACATCCAAACTGCATTCTAGACCCCTGCTAACCCTTAACTTGTTGGTCTAATACCAATCGAACCCCTTACCAAACCCATGGCGCATGTGGTCCAACACGAACCAAACTTCTTGGCACTTTGGTCCATCACTAAGAAGAGAATTTTTACCGGTCCAACTCCGAGAAGAATCCACTTGCCCATGAGTAGCTCGGTCTCGCAATCTGAAACTCTGATGCCAATTTGATAGGAGAAAACATCTTAAGAGAGTCCACCAAAGAGTTCAATATGTAAGTCAGGAACCCAATTCTGATCCAAAAGTTTAATCCATTAGGTTTCGAGCCCTTACTTACATATTAACCGTTCTTTCTCTATCTCTCGGACCAATGTGTGACATAATCCTTTACTCAAAAACCTAATATATGGTAATTAATGTAGACTCATTTATGCGGTCAACCTTCACGAATCTAATCATTATTTGACATTTTGCTTGATTAAGTAAAATCGTCAATTTCAGAATTTGTTGTAGCAAAAAGTCCATGAATTTCTATTTTAGACGGAGCATCGACTCTAAACAGCCCAATTAAACCTACACAGGTGCAAAACTGCCCAAGTCCACTACACACTGTACGCATCTTTAACCATGATTACAATTGACCCAAATTTAACTAACGGGCTGCCCTCCTACTTTTATCATCGAAACCAATTGTGACCACACCATTGCCAAATTTCAGGTAACGAAAATATTTCTCCCATCTAACGAAAGTATTTCTATCATTTGTAAAGATCGAACGAGTTTGTCCATAAGACTCAACTCAACTGATATGAATGCTAAGTAGTTCTGACTCTTGAAGCCTCTCTTTTTCCTTCCTGTTGTGAGGTTTGACATCTTCGTGAACTAAAAATTAAAAAGAAAAAGAAAAATCGATCTTATGGTTTCCACAGCCCCTTTCAATTGAAAATTATTTGTTCCCAACAAGAGGATGGATGAAGGGCGGGGAAATTCTATATTCGAGATAGAGTAATAACTTAGCAACTTTTTTTTTTTTTTTAAATTTTTGTACATTGCTGGTACACACACACACACACACACACATTTTAGCCAGACAGTTTCCGAATCGCGCCTCAACCGACGTTGTAATAAGACATTTAAAGCTTTTCTTTGTGGAAGCACTTTTCTTGCACGTACGAAAAGATAATCAAATTTGACAACCCCTTCGCTGGCTATATATCAACTTGGATTAGGGCTCTATATTACAAATGTCAGTCTACGACTGAGATCCATGTTGTAATCAAAAGCGTGTGTGTACATATAAAATTCAATAGTGTACGTAATTAATGACGCGCGAACTAGAAAAATAAAATAGTAGCGATGGCTGTGTTTGTTTTACTGCTTGAGGAGTCCAAATAACTAATAATAAAAAGAAAATCTAAACTGCTACATTTGTTTCCTGGTGATGAAATTGGGTTAGACTTTCAACATCTCATTGAAAGCCAAGATGCATATGACTAACCAACTCTGTCTAGGGCCACATTTCTTTCTTTCATTCTTTCTTGCTTCCTTTCCCAAACAATAATGGATAGTCCAGGACCGTTTCAATTACTACTTCTTTGGTGCTTTTCAATCGAAATAAATTCTCTTCTTTCTGGGACCATTTTGATGCACCCACCAGTTGCCTTGTTGAGCTCATCGTTCTTGCACTTCTCAAAATCACTGAAGT